AGTAAAATAACTCTTTCATAAGTCTCTAGGATTATTTTTCACTTAGAATAACTCAGGATATTTGCATTTATGAAAATTGTGGGTAGGGGTAGGGAAACGGGCGGTTAGTCCTCTTTGGGGACATTTGGGTCAACCTTTCATAACAAGATCATTTCTATATGTTAGGCAAATCATTCTCCTAGAAAAATCACATCTATAGCACTCTTTCTGAAAATTGAACGTTTAAATTCCGAATAATATTTAAAGTTATGTCCTTGGATCACGTGGTTTATTGATTTGTGTTGCATAGTTATAATGCATGTATAAAATTTTCTCTTTTAGGGACAAATGTAGAGTAATTTTGAGTTTTAAAAGTGTCTGTGAAAACATGAAATCTACAAAAAGATGGCGTTTCCCTTTGAAATGTATTCATATTTCCCGAAATGATTAAAGAAAAGACAGTTCAACGGCTGCTCCGGTTTAAGACATTGGGTATAACTTGGCATCTGGTCTTGTCCGTAGTTGTTTACCAGGGCTGTTGTGATTGTGCTCATCGTCGGTTTAACAGAAATAACGTGCTTATAGATTTTATATCCTAAAACTTTTACATCTTTATAAGTCACAAAACCAAATCCTGGAGGGTCTCAAATATCTTTCTTTCTTTACAACAAAATTTGAGTTGTGATTTTTTTTTTTGCAGAGGATCGTTAAATCCTTCCTTTTATCATTCCCAGGTATTTCTCCTGACAATATACATGTCATGTAGAACAAATCTACATAACTCACATCGTCCACTGTTTTTATCATAATAAGAAGTCCTTGTGATTCAATCTGCGTTTATAACGGTACAACAAAAGACATTGACGCAAGTTTATATACACTGCAATACTGTATACTTCTATAAAGACAATTGACAACACTGCGGACTTCTAGATATGTATCAAATCAAAATCAAGAAATTGACCCCAAAGTGCGTAAATATGCTACATGTTAACGCACTTTGGGTTCTAGAGTTCTGAAGGTGTCACCTGAGATCTGCTTAAATACTGAGTACTGACTTATTTTCGATCTGCGACATTGAAATATTTGAAGTAAAGTTCAAGATGACGGTCGATACTTTGTTTGATGCTTAAGTGAAAAACGTTTCATTAATATTACCACTTGAAATATCTAAAAAATACTGTCCATATAACAAAATACTCTTGTACATAAATTGTGAATGTATTTCTAAAATTTATAGATGCTGCGAAAAATACCATGTTCTGTCAGTCATTTACTTGATAACTTTTGGTGCCATATTGAGGCCCATTTTAAATATGAAAGTTCTTCAATAACTGATCAAGATAATTTAAAATCCCCATTGATTGTACTATAATTCAGGGCACATTTTTTGCGTCTATTTAATACCTTGATATCTGGCATTTGTCAGCACGTTGTCTCTTTTTCGAAACATAATTTTAATTGATTATATCCGAATAAACATATTAAGCTTCCTATATCCGGAGCAATTTACAAAATGTCACTTCCGACTGTTCGGATATGAGCTTTAGTCATATAATACTATAATTGATATACATGTAATTGTTAATATTATTCTATTACAAATTGTCTGGAATATTTAATGCTCTTATTCAGCCATGGATGAGGCGAAAATCTAACATAAAATTTCAGGTTTTTGCAATCGATGACGAAGCAAAACCTATTTTATAATATTCTATTTTATATAAAAGTTTCAAACTCTATTAACTTTGTTACTTAATGACCAGTCATGACGGAAATTTTATGCCAACCATAAATAAAATAAGTTAAACATATATGTTGCATTTATTATCATTTGTTCCTTTAAAGTGACTATGTTGGAAAAATAATAAGCTTATCAACAAACTTAAGTTTTTTTGTAAGCTCCGTAACAACCGTTCGCCAGAGGCTTTTTAATGGGAAATCTTTCATACTACTTTAGAAAAGGCAAACATGAATTTTATAATGTTTAAATAATGGTATCAGAGACATGTAAGATGTTTGTTACCTGAATAAAGTAGCGATAAATGTGAAATAATTTGTTATAAAAGTAGCAAAATGTTAATTGTAGAATAGTACTTCCATATAAAATACTAATTCACTATGACTGTACTTATCGCCAAAAAGCAACAGATAAAAAAGGTGGTTCAGGTAATTGGCCAATGATAACTTTTTGGATACTATAGAAGTACACCAAAATTAAAAAGCTTTTAAGAAATACAAATAAAAGCTTAATGGAACTTTAAAACCTTTATAATTTTAATCTCGGAGCGATGGACAACCCACCATCACCTCTAGACCCCTCAATGAGAATTTTACATTTTTATGAAGTTCCGCTCTTAATGTGTGTGACTACTAAAATAGTTTTACTGACTGAACGGACGACTACTACTTAAGGCCGCATCTACACCTAGTTAAGTTTCTTAAATGTAACATTTAGATAAGCTAAATAAATTACCCTTTCAACATTTTATCAGGCACGATTTTTTACTGAAATGTGTTATTTAGATTTCCCAGGATTAATATCTTTGTCTTTGCTAAGAATATCATATTTCTGTAAATGTGTAAATAAAAAAAAACGGGGAAATGATACAATAATCTAACAACAATGAGTGTACATTGTACATTCATTTAAAATAAATGGAAAATGTTAGAAAAAATATTTTGAGCTTATTAATTGATACAAATTCTTTACTTGATGAAAGTTCTTCACTAACTGATCAAGATCATTTAAATTCCATATTGATTCTACTATAATTCAGGGCACATGTTTTGCGTCTATTCAATATTATGTTTTATCACACACCCGTAAAAATGGTCGTTAATAGCGTTATACAAACATAGTGTAATGTTAGCGTTATACTATAGGCACGTCAATGAAAATGACTCTTATTTCACATTATAAACGGTGTTTATTTTGGGTATGTGATAAATATAATATTAGAGTCGTGTAAGTTCATTACTGATTTTATTACACTCGTTGAATAAAATAATATTATGCTCGCCAGAGGCTCACATAATGTAAATTTATTCAACTCGTGCAATAAATCCAGTATTGAACTTACACTCATTCAATATCCTCTATTTATTGTTATGTTTCCGATCCTTAAAGACCGTTCAGCACAACAGTTTTGTTGTGCTTGTGGTAAATTAATTCTTTCTATTCGGCTATTTTCTTGCTGGGTGGTTCCACTATTACTCACTTGAATACTGTTGAATCACCCTCAGGATATGTGGCCTGCTTTTTAAATTTGTCTTTTGACGTCTTATCTGTGATATGCAGGCTTTATAACCTCTGATCCCCTTTCAAAATTCCATTTTATTTAGTTCTGCCCATCGTTTTCTCGTTTAGGGCACACGCATGTTTTTACTTGGGGACCATATGCCGCTTTTCATGGAATGGCACTTACGGGTCACATTGAAGGTTCCATGATAACTGCCATATGAAACATCCGCGGATGTTTCTTAATTCAAAATTGTACCTGTTCATGTTAAATGTTGAATTCTGCTTAAGCCGGTGCTAGTGGTCCTGGACGGTAACTTTTTTCATGGACCGTCCATGAACAGGCTCAATCAAACCGAGCCTGCAACATTTTCAATTGTGCCGTGTTGGACTTTCTTTAGGGATTCTTATTTTCTCGATTTTAACAACTTTACTTTTGTTTACCATTGGCTTTGACTACAATATACTATTTAAAACATAATGAAAATTTATTTTTATTGATTGACCCCAAAGTGCGGTCGTTTGTCTGATGTTAAAAAATGCATATGTACCTGTTTAACGCACTTTGGGGTCAAAATTGGACCCCAAAGTGCGTTTGACCCCAAAGTGCGGTGTTACAATGCTTATGTATATAATAATGTCATTTTTGAGAAACTACTATCATGGCAGTTAAATAATCGTTTACGATGTTTGTATTTTCTTATTTTTAAAAGGTTACTTCTTATCGAGAGAATAAATCACTATTTGAACGGAAGACAGATTTTCTATTTTCTTTTCGATTCATTCGTTTCATTTTTCAATATTTGAATAAACAACATACATCATACGCGTATACGATGTTCCAGACAAATATATTTGTCTATTCCAATAGTACTTAATGTGTCATTGTAGTTCATTTACTTTTTTATGCTTGCAGACATTTTTCTGTTTGACAATGGTTCGTGATCACAAACATCGACTTTAAACAGGCGTTTCTTTTATGATTCGTTATTATTTACATACATTAAGTGTATTTATTTCGGCTTAACGTTTCATTCTTTTCCTAAATGCATCAATTGCTCATGATATACTACTATCAAAGAAAGTAAAACACTTCAAAGGGTTTAAATGTTAAATGCATTTATATTTTTTTAAACATAAGATAACACGTTTTTTTATGATGTCGTGATTAATTTCCCCAATGAGAAAAGCGAAAGTGGTGGAAACTATCATATTTGAAAACGTTTCAATGATAAGGTGTATCAATACATTGATTTAAAGTTTGCGCTCGACTACCAAACTGATTTATTAAATACCTTTGGCTCGCTACCCGTTACATTTTCTGTAAGATAACGTTATCATTAAGGACCGTTAATGAAATAAAGCATTATTACTTAGTTATCTATTCTTCAAAAGAATTGTTTTTAAAGGCTATAAAGAAATTGCAAATATTTTCTGATCTGACACTTCCATAACTTGCTATGCTTTAGAGGTAAATCAGCTACGGGAAGTTTCAAATCAAACGCAAAATATATAACCAAAAACCGGTAAAATCACAATGATGAACAGGCATGTTCTACGTATTTATTTCGTCCTGCTGGTTTCGGGATATTGTCAACCTAAGACATGGATACAGTTCGAGAGATGCAGTTGTTATGATGGACATACGTGCAAAGAAATTGATGTTACATTCAAAACCAGTTATAAAACAGACATAAGTTGTGCCGCGCATTGCGGAAAATACGCGAATTGCTTCAGTTTCTTCTACGACCCGATCGAACATATCTGCGTCGGATGCAAAATGGATTACGAGCCCGAAAGTTTGGAAAATGGTGGCACAGTACATTTTGAGAAAAAACGTATGTTCCAGTTATTTATACATTAGAAAGTACAATGAATGAAAATGTTATAGCGTCTCAGTTAAAATAAAGACAGAATGACCAAAAAGTAATTGAATTTAACTCTAGTGATAAACAGTCATCTAATGCTTAATTCTAGTAAAAACAATCTTTCAAAATAGTTGTTCGCATGCGTATTCGTAAAATGCACTTTGCACAAAAAATATATTTTTGCTTTTTACTATAAATATTTTTGTAAAATTGATTGGTTCATTGTCAAACTGTTACCCCGAATTATCTTTTTTCTTAATTGTATTTAGTATATGAATTATAAGAAGGAAAGGTTGTGACAGTTTGAGTTTAAATATTAATTGTTTGACTTTCTTGAATCTTTACAAATTCATGTTTTTTACAGATCCTGAATGCCTGAAGTTGAAGTATTTATATACAGAACGCGATTTCGTAAATTTAAATTTATAAATAGTAAATTATGAATTAATGAAGGCTAGATTATTGTGGAATAATGAATTCATGAATTCCGGTATGTTGTAACTACGATTAGGAGTTGAAATCTTGCATTTGCGAAGTTGAATAGATAAATTTATGAAGTCACCAACCTCCAGATGGTAAAATGAATATAAAAAAAATCAAGTAAACTGTACATACTGATCTAGTTAGGTTCAATGTGTAAATCCATTATTCCTGAGGTCTTAATTCAAGAAAGAATATTGACAACAGCGTCAGTTTATCGTGTTTTTCCTTTGCATAATCTTCTACGTTACTTACTTAATTTGTCTCCGGGAGGCTAGATGCTTTAAAACGAACCTTTCAGTCTTTCGAGGAATTTGCATAGAGTTTACTAACCTCAGTTTGCATGTGCTTTAATGCAATAAAATGTTTTTTATTTTACCCTTTGTATACTGGTAAAATGTTAATCTGCTTGACATTTTATGTGCTCAGTTGTTTTGTTTTTAAATTTGCCGAAATTGAAAAGATAACTGGTAACTGTGACACCTTGGTACAAGACAACACGCACAGTTTACCGGCGTTTTAGTTTCGTCGTGTGCCAAGATGTCTTGCAAATGTTACTGCGATCGCTTGCTCTAAGCAGGCATGACAAGTGTTTTTTGGTTGTGTTTTACGCCGCATAAACATTGTTTAGGTCATATGGCAACTTCCAAGATTGTGCATTATTTTAGGCACGAACGGGAACCTAAATAGAACAACCGACGTTCCGTAAGCTAGTAGATAGATAGCATCCTCACAAGAGGTAATCCAAGTCCTTGACAGGGCAAGTTTTACAGGGAGATCAAACACTTATTGAAAATACTTTTTTATAACATTTTATATTAAGAACAAAACAAAATCCAGTAAGATCTATTCTTAAAGTTAATTTGAATCTTTTGCTTCCTTGGCTACAAGTTTTATTTTTTGCAGTGTGTCCACACGGTACATTCATAACTGACCGAATTTCGTGCTACTCTATAGGGCCGGTTAACCAGGACTTCTTTCAGGCAAAGGTAATGCACTTGATAATTTTATCTAATAGTGTTATAGTGGTTATATGTTTGTGTAATGTTATAAATTTAATGCCATCGCTATTTTTGTCACTGAGACATACGTTTATAAACAATTTGCAATCCTAAAAACTGTGACATTTAAGTTATTTAACACTTGGAAATGCAGAGGACTTTAACAATCAACATATATGTTTATTGAGAGGGGGACTTCGGCATATATGTTCATATACAATTGACATTATTAAGGACTTCGACATATATGTTCATAGACAATTGACATTATTTAGGACTTCGACATATATGTATAAATACAAAATGGTATTATTTACCACTTCGACATATATGTTTATAAACAATTTGCATTATTGGGGACTTCCACATTCATGCTTATAGACAAATTGCATCATTGAGGACTTCGGCATATATATTTTAGAAAATTGGCATAATTGAGGGCTTCGACATATATGTTTATAGACAGTTGGTATATGTTTTTAGATAATATGCATTATTTAATACATCGACATAAGTATATGTTTTATTGTACACTTAACATTATTGAGGACTTCGACGTATATGTTTATAGGTTTTAGGCAATACTAGGGACTTCGACATATATGTTTAAAGAATATAATGTTTCTTTTTTTCTTCTTATTTTAAAAGGATTACTGCTTATCGAGAGGCAAACATCTCCTTGAACCGGAGACACTTGCAAGTAACCAGATGTTTCAAGACATTTTGACGTTTGAAAACGTTGCAGGTCATGGATGTTTTAAAAGTTTTATCTGACGTGTTTTCTGGAAAATGTATTTAATTTACATTATGCACTTTTTAAATCCAGAAAACGTGGTTTTCTTTCAATGGAAGAATATGGTCATTTTTTTTAAAGTATTCTTTGAAAAAAAACAGAAGATTTTATTCTAATAAATTTGTTTCAATTCACAAATGATTTATATTTTGTACTGATTTTCAATCAAAAACTTTTTTTCTTTCAAATTTTGTTATGACAATGACCAATCAACAACCTTTTTATATTGCAGATTGGTCCCTTCTTGCAACACCATCATCATAATTATTTACCTCGCCGAAAAGGCGGTGAGGGATATAGGAATAGTCTCCGTCTGTCTGTCCTTCTGTTCTTCCGCCCGTCCGTTCTTCCGTCCCATATTTTTGTCCGAAGCATATCTCAAAATGTATTTGAGGTATCAGCTTGAAACTTCATAGATGGATAGATCATATTGAGGAGGAGTGCAGTGCACAAAAGTGATAACTCTACCAAGCATAATCTTTCAGTTATTGCCCCTTTTTTTCAAACTTAATTTTTGTCCAGAGCATAACTCAAAAGCCTTTGAGACATAAACATGAAACTAAATAGGTGTATATTTCTCACTCAGAATATTGCACAATAGTGATAACTCTACCCTTCATAATTTTTGAGTTATTACCCTTTGCTATTTTTCATACCTAATTTTTCACCTGAGTGGAGCATAACTCAAAAAGTCTATGAGATGTCAACATGTAACTTCATAGGTGGATAGATCTCATTAAGGAGAGGAGTGCAGCACACAAGAATGACTACCTACCCTGTATTATTTTTCACTTATTGCCCTTTGTTTTTTAGCCATCAGTATTCACATATATTTCAAATCTGTATTCACTTCAGCCATCAAAAGTCACATAGGTTTCAAATCTGTAATAACTTCAGCTATCAGTTTTAATTATCAAAAGACCTCTTAAAAGTGAATTATTCTGCTCTACTACATATGCAGTCTTTCAATAAGCAAACACATTCGGCAGGGGATGGCTATGGTAACATGGCTCTTGTTACAATTGTATTGCATCTGAATATCTGCTACAGTTAATTGTAACATGTGCTGAGTTGTAACCGAGCTCTTGAAATGCACAAAATACTTTTCTTTTGAATATTCATATATCCCAGAAGCCTATAAGTCTCAATGATATATGTGATATAATAATAATAATAATAATAATAATAATATAATGAAAATAGTAAAATATGAAGTTGCTTGATTTGTATTAATATGATATGAACTGATTAAATACAATACAATTTAAGTCAAATATTTTATTGGCAGAAACAAATACATGTTCATTGCCAAGTTACCAAGGCTGATATAACATATTAAAGATTATAGAAAAATACTTTAAACAGTTTCCAAAACTACTACAACAAATATGTAAATGTCAATATGAGTCACAGAAATAAATACAGAATGTAATAATATAGAAACAAAAACGTACATATATAAAATTAACTGTTTGAGCTTTTCTTATCCATAGCACAATAAATGAACTTAGCTTAATTAACAATTCTTTTCCTTTGCAAACATTTCCTGTGATCTACATAATTTTATTGATGTTTGGCCAGCACAATAATACTGAGGTAAACATTGACTTCTCAGAGTACCATAGAACAGACAAACTTATAAAAATGGTATTCATGTTATATTACATATACATGATATACGTTAATTTCGATGGATATTTCTATGTCTTCCTTCTTCTTCCTAACAATTTATGTGACGAGCATCTAAATCTTGAGAGTTGAGAACACTTTACAATGATTAATGTTATTTACAACATCTATCTTTCTTAAATAAAGTTACATCTAAATAAATTGTAACTACATAATTTAGAGAAACTACTAAGATCAGAACACCATTCTTGTAATACTGATCATAAATTCTTCTTATGAGAATTAATTTTGTTGCTTGTATCTTTAAGATTGTTCTATAAATTTCAAAAAGGACTTCATTCTGATAACATTTTCCTGACGTTGTTGTCCATGATTTAGTCACATCATCATTTAAATATATCATAAACATTATTTTAAAAGAATGTCAAGGCTTGTTTTAAGAATTTTAAGTGAATTTTATCAATATTCGGTAAGTTATGAAAGCCCCATACCTCTTATCCATAATTAAAAATCATGTACATGTACTTTCTGGTTACCGGATTTGTTGAAATTCAGTTATCTATACATTATACATAGAGAAATCACACGAAAAGTCGGCACAACGCAGCCGGGACTCAAACCACGGGTCTCTGGATTGCCGGTTCAGTATGCTTACCACTACACCACATAAATAAAAGACAAACGTTACACCACACCATACTAGAACACTCATGTTATATTAACATCAATAATGATCCTATAAATATATTCCATATTTCACTCAAACGAAAAAATATCCTCTTATTATTATTATTATTATTATTATTAATTTTATCAATATAATTATCATTATTATTATTATTACACATCAGATATTATTTTTAATTAAGTCGTGTACGTCCGTATAGGTCGTCTAAAGTAAATTTATTAATTTTTCTACTGAGACGTAATCAATAAATAAAGATTTGTTCTCTTTTTTGTTTTTACAGAGTATGTTGTGTGGATAGGACTTACAGACCATGACGGTACGGGTACTTGGATATGGGAAACCACAGGTTTTGGCCTGGTTAACGACTTTTGGTACTCCGGTCCTCCTAATATCGAAGGGCATGAAAATTGTGGAGCTTTTTTAAAAGCTTATCACTGGAAATGGGGTATCCTTGACTGTATGTCTTCTAGCTCCACCCTTACAATCTGTGAAACCGGGTATGTTTTTGAAAGTAACTAGCATTCAATATTTGTATATTATTATTATGTCTTTGCCATGATCTTTAGCACAGTGAAACTTTGAAAAAATGTCACCAAAGGGAGACACAAAACACGGCCTTTAAAAATGAGTCTTTATTTGGAGGTTTACTTTATTATATTTGTCCAATTAAGGATTGTCACGTAGAGTGTTCTTTATTTACAGGATGGTCGTTATTCGGAGATGGTTTGAAAAACTTCTCTTAATTATTTTATTTATTTATCTCTTTTGTTTTGTGTGTTTGGAAATTCATGTTGGTTGTTGAAAAATATAATTTGACATAAACTTGATAGCAAACTTCACGTCATTTGAATTTATATATTTGTTTGCATGCCAAAATTGTACTGAACAATATTTTTATTTAATAACACTTTATTCCTTGATCATTTCAGTATCATTGTATAGAGGACACAAATGGATGATGAAAACAACAACAACAACAACAAAACGTTTATTCAGAAATTAAGCATTACACTACAATTGAGTTGATGTGAAAAAATGACATGAAGTACTATCAGCAACAGAATATCGTTGCTAGCATTTTGTAAAGTGTTTTTAAATATACCCAAGCAGATATATGTTTTTTTAAATTAAGTGCAAAAAAAAATAAAAATAAAAATAAAAATAAATAGATAGATAAATAAATAAATAAATGAATAAATAAATGAAAAAATAAAATGAAATAAATAAATACAATGAAATAAATAAATAAATAAATAAATAAATAAATAATAAATAAATAAATAAATAAATAAATAAATAAATAAATAAATTGAAATGAAATGAAATGAAATACATAAATGAAATAAATAGATAAATAAATAATTAATCAAATAAATGAAGTAAATAAATTAATAAATAAAATGAAATAAATGAAAAGATAAACTGATAGCATTTGATTAATGTCTAAAAATGTGAAATCACAACAATCTTGTTTAATTCATTAATTTAGCTTATCCTACGTTTATAAGATTGTTCATTTTTTTTATTTGAAAGGCCACAAATGAATAAATATTAATAATGAATAATAGAAAGAATAAATAAATAAATATTTCAATAAATAAATATATAAATAAATTAAAAACAATTGATAAATTTCTAAAAACAAATTTGTTTTATTCGTTTACTTAGTTTTGACCTACCTTTAGTCAATAAGATTGCTATTATATATATTTTATATACTTTTTTTATTTGAAAAGCCAGTATTTTTTATCTATTTAAATTTTATTCAGAATGCTATGTATTTTTAAAGCATATTCAATTAAATTTACTCTATGAAACCCGTATCCAATCATATGTATTTTTACAAATATTCGTAGGAATCTGTCGCTTTTGAATATCAAAAAGCAAAAAACCAGTAAATTTAGCTGATTGATAATTCTATAAAATTGGTTAATTTCATTATTTAAAATAACAACCTTACTAAAAAGTGGCTCTCACATTTTTCTGATCTGTTTAAAGGAGGACTCTCAACACTGCGGTTGTGGAGTCATCGACCAAACAAAGCTGAAAGAGGTAAACAGAGTTTCTAAAAGGATCCGATTTAAAAGAACAATCTTGTTTTTTTGTTGTTGTTTTTTAAAAAATCGAAGAATGCTATACGATGCAGAACATTTTACTTTTCATTTTGGATGTAATTTCGATTCGAAAATCCCCTAAATGACGTTGCTTGAACTTTTACCAAATATCGACTCCGCGTGTTTTCTTTCACGAGGATACATATCTTACATGATTTCTCTGTTACTTTTATGTTGATCCACATAATCTTGCACGTGACATTGTGTCTACGTTACTTTTGGCTCAACACAAAAAAAAAGTTAAAAGAGCTTGGATAAAAATACTTATATTTATTCAAATGCGCAACAGCAATTTGAAAAAGACCTAGCAAATGTTTTGGAGCCAATACAAACATTCAATTAATGTCTATATTGTGAAATATAAAACCGTTCATTCTCGTTTTATATGTATATAAATAAATAGAAATGGACATTATTTTTCTAAGACATCACCTTATTATATTTTTGTTGCATGTCTTCGCTTCAGATGTTAGAATATTTAATTTCTCAGGGCTATGACCTCCGTGATTGAAGTTAAACCGTACAGTTTTTCAACAACTCAATCAAAGTTACTTCTTTTTGTCGTAACTAAAACTTAATATTCTGTCATCCGTAAGCATATGTAAATCATTAATCTACTTAGAAATCATATGGCATCAGACCTAAAGCTCTTAAATGCTGTTTTGGTAGCTATAAAACAACAAGGGATACATACTATTTGCACCCTCAGTTCAACGTAATTCTTACACAATTCATAAAATGTCGTCGCTGTTTGTCTTTTTGGGCTTGCACAATTTTTAGGAGCACATGGATCGTACATATATATATATATATATATATTTTAATGAGAGTTAAACTGTTGATGCGCTTGATTATAAATATGGTTATGAAATACTTGCTATTTTCAAAAATGCCATTCACTTTTTGTAACAAAACATTTATTCGCATTGACAAAAGATTCTTGCATTGAAATTTGAAAAAGCTAATAGCTTTTCAGACAAGCCAATAAGTCAAGAGATTCAAATGGTTAGTCAATAAGCAAATAATCGAAACGGACTTTAAAAAATAGAACGACAACAATAAAGTGTAGGATTATTAATTTTCGTTTTACCTCAAGTCCAAATAATTCTTTGAAATAATTTACATTTTTTAAAAGAACTCCTACAGAAGATATTTCCTGTATCGTTAACGTAAGTAACAAGCAAGGTCATTTAAATAATTATTTAAATAAGACAATATTTTCAAAGTAAATAAATGAGTGAGTCAGTGAGTGAGTGAGTAAATTTTATAAGCGTGACATTGTGTTATGTGCAATATAGTAAAAATACTTAAAACAAATTACACTACAGGCCATGTTGGGCCGATAAGGTTTTGTTTTCAGTTTGATTTCCTGTCAAATTTACCGTGAAGAACTGAATATAAGAAGAACTTTGATTGGTCATATTAAAATTACAAAATGAAATCTTGGAACCTCATTGGCCAAATTAAGATAAAATACAGAAAAGATAGTTTTTGTCATTCTAAGATAGTTCTTAACTAAAATGTAAAGGATCGTTCTTACTATGATGAAATAAACTGTAAAGGATAGTTCTACAATAAAATGTACATTATAGTTCAGGGGCGGATACAGAACATGGTTTCCTGGGGGGGGGGGCTGACATATGGGTGGATTTTTTTTATAAAAATAACCCAACAGGCGAAAATTGTGCATGTTTGAAGATCGGACCAGCCTCTTGTTCAAGTGACAAAAATTGTAATTGATGTGTTTTATATGTCATCTTATTAGCGGCAATGTACTTTGCTTATATATGTGTATACTAATGCTTTTTTGTAAATACTTATATTATATGGAATTTAAAAAAATATATATGTAATTGGGGTAGGCCTGGGAGGTGTGTCCCGTGCCATAGACTGAGAAAAATTTTGAAATATGAGGTTGTAAATGGTGTAATTCCCTTGACTTTCTTGTGCTGTTTACGGTACATTTTGGATGGTTTAACATCAAATTATATTTTGTTTGCAAGGTCTTTCAAATAGAAATCCTCTAGTGTTTAGTAGTAGCATTTACAAAATAACAGCACACATAATTACTAATGTATGCACGATCGTTGGTAAAAATAATTTCATGCTGGAGTGGCATTGTACTTTTATGCTATAACTTTTTAACATTGTGTATATGTCTGTACAATGATGAGATGTAAATAAAGATTACTACTATACTTGATCAATTTTCTGATATGAATAATTAAAGTGGTATTAATATACTGTCTTTCTATTGTACAAAAAACATAATTTCAAACACTAATATTCAATAAAAAAAATTTCCATCAATGAATCCAGAGGTCACTACAATTTAAATTGTATTTAAAAATATAACTGTCATAAAAAGTTATTCAAAAAAATTGACCAATCATTTCATCTTGATAAAAATCTTAGTAAAACTAGTTATTAAAATGCAATTCCTTTAATATTATCTTCATAAAACTCGCCATGTTTTTAATTTACAAATAATAATTTTCAATTTCTTAATTATAGGGCTTTCGCAAAGAAAATGGAAAAACTAAGATAGTAAAATATAGTGTACAATGTAACACATCTATTTGCCACTATCTGTGATATTAATTTCATTAGACCTTTGGAAAGTAATAAACCAATCAACTATGCAGTTTAAACATTGAAGTCATTCAAGCATATTGATAGATAAAAATCTCTGCCAAGCCCCCATGCAGGAGATTAACAACTGGATGACAGCAATAAATATTTTGAAAAGGGAGTACACTACAGCCAATAAAGTTTGAAACTGACAAAATATATACCAGCCCAGCTGGTAAACGTATATTTGGGCAGAGATGGGGGGCTGCAGCCCTGAAGCCCGGGCCTGAATCCGCCACTGTAGTTTTTAAACTTTCTAATTCAATTGCTCATATATGTAAGTTCTGTGTAACAATATTTCCTGTATTCAGATATATTACATTTTTAGTGAACCTAGTGAACTGTTTATTTTACGTAAGAACTTTGAGTTTATTATACACAATATCTGAGTTTTAAATGTTGTCCAAAATTACGAGAATAATATCAGAACTTATCCGGTACCATTAGGTTTATGATGTTAAATAAGTGTTTAATATATTATATGATTATTGATGTGTTCACTTGATATAACGTTTAAACTTTTGATATACTTTTGCATATCAGATAAATAATCTACAAGAAATTATTAATATGTCATTGTTATACAAGAAATTATTAATATGTCATTGTTATACAAGAAATTATTAATATGTCATTGTTATACAAGAAATTATTAATATGTCATTGTTATACAAGCTTTCCTTACATTTTAATATGACTTTGCATGGAAAATTAATAGCTTACATATGCAAATTAACCTTTTTTACTTTGACCGAGTATCGTTTTTTAAAGATTCTTCTTGTCAATTAGTAATAACAAGATTTATTTAAATGTGTGTAGCAAAATAAATCATTCGTATTTCGCAGCTTTACCAATTTCTGTGCAACACGTTGCTAATTAAAGCTGCATGCCTCCAGATGAGTAAAAATATTTCATTAAAATCAAACTTGAGAAATCTGCTGTCGGCACAATCATGATAATAGACTTTTATACTAGTTAAGAAATATCGTTCTGAAACTTATTTTTCTTTTGCGTTACGTTTATGTAACCGGGTTGACAGGATCACTGACTGGTTAACAATGACGATTGAATCTGTGCAGGCACCCGTAAATAAATATCAGAATTTAAGGATATACAGCTGAAATATTCCTCCACCAGCATATTTGAAAAGTCACCATATGGCATAGATTGTAAGTGTGACTTTACATATGACAAAAATATGAGACTGAATTAGATTAAAGAATAAATTAATTAAATCTATAATTATACTAATTTAACATATTATAATAACCGTGAACATATTTACTTTTTAGACATCCAACAAATCTTTCAAAATCCTGCATAGTCCAAAACAAATTTATTGTTATTTGCTTTTGCTTTTGAATTGTACATGTAT